GATGTGTGCCCGGGGTGAAGGGGAAGGCAAAGCTCCCGCTGGGGTCACGGTGGGGACTGGGAGCTCCTGCAGCCGGCCTGGGTTTGAGTGGTGGTGCCAGTCCCGGGGAGGTTCCCTGTCCCTTTCGGGGTCTTCTCAGAAGCTGAGGCTGCATCAGGAGCCAGATCCCCCTGGGGGGAGGCAGAGAAAGACCCCAGGGACACCAGGGGGGCAGGAGGAGGGGGGGGAGCAAAGGGGCTGAGCCACGGGGGGAAGGAGGAGGTAGTTCCCATCTCCTGTGGGTCTGTGTGGGATGGGGGTGTTGTGTTGTGTGTGAGCTGGCGTTGGAGTCCCTGCCTGTGCTGGTGTCTCTGCCAGCCCAGGGGCTGTTCATTTTCCTGAGGAAGGGCTGTGCTGCTCTCCCAGGAGCTGCTCCCAGGGCACCTCTGTGGGGTGCTGTGGGTCCCTGGCTGGGGTTGAGCTGAGGGTGGGCCCTGTTTGCAGCTGGAGGATGATGATGACGACGATGACATGGGGGAGCACGACGAGGAGCACCCTGGCATGGAGGTGGTGCTCCACGAGGACAAGAAGTACTACCCCACAGCTGAGGAGGTGTACGGGCCTGAGGTGGAGACCATCGTGCAGGAGGAGGACACACAACCACTCACTGGTGAGTGGGGAGGGAGAGAAATGGGTTTCTTTCTGTGCTGCCCCTTTGGAGCCCCCTCACAGCCCCAGGAACACACACAGACTCCTGTTTGTCTGGTGTGTGCAGGTTTGGGCTCTCGTGGTTGTTCCAAATCCCAAACAGAAAAGCAGCAATCAGCAGAGACTTGAAAGATGTTTAAGGAGAAGTTAAATACATTTAAGTCATCTTCTTTGATCCCTTTACACTGGAATATTTGTGTTGGAAGGGCCCTGCGGTGACCCTCTCCTGCAGCTGCTTTGATAAAGAGAATCTGTCAGCTGGAAAACTGGGAGTTTGATGGCAAAACTCCCTGTTCCTGGAGGTTGTTCCTGGTTTGGGGGCTCTGGGTGCAGTTTGTTGTTCTTTCTCTTGTTTCAGAGCCCATTATTAAACCCGTGAAGACCAAGAAGTTCTCCCTGATGGAGCAGACGCTGCCAGTCACTGTCTATGAGATGGAGTGAGTGCTGGGGGGGTCAGCTCGAGCTGTCACCACTGCTGGTCCCCCCTGCCCTGAGGGGTCCTGCTCTAGGCTGGGAGGGGTGGCAGATTTTTGGAGGGCTCTGGCTTGGTGTCTGACTGACCCCAGCAGCTGCTTCTCCGGTTCTGAACCAAGGGCAAGAGGAAGGAAATGCAGGACAGACCATTTCCCAGACATTTTCCCTCTCCAGCACAGGGCAGGGCTCGGACACAGAGGGGGAATCTCATCTCAAGGTTGAGATAAAGTTCCATAGTCAGAGCCTCTTGTGGCTCAGGAAATACTTATGGAATGGTTTGACATGGAAGGGACCTTAAAGCCCATCCAGTTCCACCCCGTGCCATGGGCAGGGACACCTTCCACCAGCCCAGGTTGCTCCAAGCCCCATCCAACCTGGCCTTGGACACTTCCAGGGTTCCAGGGGCAGCCACAGCTTCTCTGGACAACCTGTTAAATATTCATGTGGCACACGTCATATTGGGACATTTTAGGTTGATCCCAGTCTCAAATTAGACCCCATCTATCCTGGAGGAGCTCCCACTGGGAATTCTTATGCTGCTGGGTGAGTGCAGAGCTCTGTGCAGGTCACCAGGACCGTGGGCGTGGTGGTACCTGCTGGTTGTACCCCAAAGCAGCCCCTGGGACACCAGGACTGGGAGAAAATCTCTGGAAAAAAATTCAAACTAACTTAAAGATAACATCTCACACAAGTTTGATGTGGAACAAAAAACATAATTTGCTTTTTCTATTAAAAATCTGATCTTGGCATCAGCGTTTTTGTGTGCTGTGGTGGGTGGAGGGTCCGTGTCCCCTGCTGCAGTGTGTTTGTGCTGTCCCTGTTTGGGATGAGCAGATGGAGCTGTGGGAGTGTCCTTGGGCTCATCTCTCCATGTGCCACTTCATGGCCAGTCAGAGCTTTTCCCAGGTTTTAATGGTCTCTCTGTGTGGATCCCAGAAACAGGAACGGCTGAGCAGCAGCCCCAGTGTGAGCAGTCCCTCTGCTTGGCATCCAGCAGCCTCTTGTTTTTCAGAGGGAACAGGATGTTCCTGGAGCTGGTGCTCACTCAGGAATTCCCAGAGCTGTTTTGGGAGGGTCCATCCCTGCTGTTTTCGGTGCCCAGGGGGATTCAGCAGAACCAGAGCAGAGCCCAAGAGCTGCTGGGGCTGGTTTTCCTCAGCAGTTCCTTTGGCTCAGTCATTATCCACTGATTCCCTGCTCCCTGTGTGAGCTGTTCATCCCATTTGTAATTAATTCCTTTTGGCCCTGTTTGTTGATATAAATGGTTAGGATGGGGCCCAGAGAAATTCCTTGTGGGACGTTGCCAGAAACCTGCGAGTTGGGTATCGATTTCCCATTCAGCCTTATTTTCATACCAATTAGCAAGCTTTTAATCAGAGTTAGTATTGATTTCTGTATTTTTTAGCTCTTAATCGAAATGTTTTACGTTAAGAAGTCTACTGCATCAGTGAAAACTTAATCTGTTTAAAAAGGAGGTGATTTGACAGCACTTATTCTCTGCGGGCCTGTGGCAGTGGCTGCATGTTTTATAGCCTCCCATTATTTTTTAGGGTTGGCAATTTAGGCTCTCAATTATCTTTTGGCCAGGATCCCTGCAGAAGTGACTTGGCCCATCATTACCCAGCTTGGTTGCTGGTTCCAAAAAGACTTAAATTCCATTGCTGTTTCCTTGAGTCCCTGGAATGTCACTGTTTTAAGACCTGAAAATCAGAATTAATGGTCTGTGGACCCCCTGGCTGCTTCCAAAGCTCTGTGGGGTGCTTGTTATCCAGCACGGTGATTTACTTGACTGCCTGCCACGGTTTGAGTGGAAGTGCTTCATCATCTGAGTGCATGGATGTGACTTTTGCTCCAGCACTGACTGGAAGAGAAGAAAAATATTCAATAATATTCCATCGCTGGCAGCTTTGCCGGCTCCGTCTCCTCCCACCCACTGCCATCTGTCTGGGACTCCAACTCTCTTGTCCTCCCCATCTGGGAAGTGGGATTCTTCCCCCGCAGGGCACCGGCGGGCTGGGAGTTTGGCGAGGATTCAGGGGGCACCGTGGATGGGAAGCGTGGCTGAGATGGCACCTGCTTTTCTGAGACACGGCAGGAGCCTCCAACAGTCTTTTGTGTTTTGTTCCCCCAGTTTCCTGGCAGATCTCATGGACAACTCGGAGCTGATCCGGAATGTGACTCTGTGTGGGCACCTGCACCACGGCAAGGTACTGGGAACATCCAAAGTGCAGTGATAGTAATGGTGACCTCTCTGTTGTTTGCTTTGCCATCTGTCCACAGCAGCACCTTCTGCTCCTCTTGCTGATTCGCTTATAGGATCATGGAATGGTTTGGGTGGGAAGGACCTTAAAGCCCACCCAGTCCCACCCCGTGCCATGGCCAGGGACACCTTCCACCAGCCCAGGTTGCTCCAAGCCCCGTCCAACCTGGCCTTGGACACTTCCAGGGATCCAGGGGCAGCCACAGCTTCTCTGGGCAACCTGTGCCAGGGCCTCCCCACCCTCCCAGGGAAGCATGCCTTCCCAATATCCCATCTAACCCAACCCTTCTTCAGCTTAAAGCCATTCCCCCTTGGCCCATCCCTCCAGGCCCTTGTGAAATTTGTAGGTTTTCTCGTAGGTTAAATCTGTAGGTTTTACAATAACGTGCTCAAGGTTCTCTGTGCTGCTGCAGGAGGGCTGGGGTTGTGTTTGTCCCTGTCTGAGTGGAGTCACCTCCTCTCCCTTCTCTTTCCCAGACATGTTTTGTCGACTGCCTGATAGAACAGACGCACCCGGAGATCCGGAAGCGCTATGACCAGGATGTGAGTGAGCTCCTGCTCTGTTCCTGCCCTGCCCTGGGAGCAGGGATGGGGTGGCTTTTGCACCCTGAGGGAGGCTTTTACATCCCATGTGCCTGGGGACAAGGTGATTCAGGGACTGGAACGTAGGACTGGAAAGCCAGAGCTCAGTCCTACCTCCGCCTCTGTCACTTACCACCTTAACTGTGTGTCCAAGTTACTGTGTGTCCTGCTTCAGATTTATTATTTGAGACCAAAATGTGATGTTCTGACTCTTGTTTTGCCTTTGCAGCTCTGCTACACTGATATATTGTTCACAGAGCAAGAGGTGAGTGGTCTTGCAGCGATTTTATCCAGTTGTCTCATGCTTTACTCAGTTACAGTAGGCAGTTTTCTTGTCTATTTTAACACCTTTTTGTGCTTTTCACATTTTGGTTATTTTCTTTATCTGCTCCTCTTGTTTGCCTCAGTAAGATCCCTGGTCCAGCTTTCTTCCATTTCCCACAACCCTCGTCTCCATGGATGATTTATAAACTGTGTAATGTTAAACCTACAGCAGAGTCACCCCAGCATGTGGGTAACTCTTATTTGCTTTGAGAGAAAGAGGGGGAAGAGGTTTGCAGCAGTTATGGATGAGGAGAAAAACTGTTTCAAAATAAATACATTTCTCCTCCTTTTCCTTAGCTGGCTCCATGTGGTTGGACATGAGTGGGAGGTTTATTTTGTGTCATGACCAGAACAATCCTATGAAGCATTTTTTTCTCTTCATCTTAACGCTCTACTTTATGCTTAGTGTGATCAAGTCTTGCACTTTGAGGTGTAACTTGGCAGCAGCAGAGGGTGAAAGCACAGACAAACATGCACATTCTTTGTCTGGTGTTGCATATTGTGCCTCCTCAGCTGGCATCAGTGCAGTGGTGGCTCACCAGTATGAACCAGTACAACTGGGGCAGCTGGACTGGGTACTGCAGTGATCTGACGTTATTCCTTCCCTGGGAGTAACAGCATGTCCTGGATGGATGTTAACTTCTTTCCATCTTTCTGATTTTTGCTTGGTCACCTTCTACATCTGCACATGGTGATCACTGTATTTACTTTTGACCTGCTAATCCTGCTTTCCTGTGTTTCAGAGGGGAGTGGGGATCAAGAGCACCCCAGTGACGATTGTTCTGCCAGACACCAAAGGAAAATCTTTTCTCTTCAACATCATTGACACCCCAGGTGATTGTGCAATCCTGAAAATCCTGCTTTGGGAACCACTTGGCTTTGTTTTATATTTTTTATAGCTGATTCCAGCCTGGTCCTGAGCCTTTAGCTGAGTTCATTCCTCTGAAGTCACTTCCAGCAGTAACAACTGCACGTGGCCCTTAGTCACACAGTCACAGCATGGTTTGGGGTTAAGAGACCTTAAAGACCATCTAGTTGCAACCCCCTGCCATGGGCAGGAATAAGTCAGGCCTGTGTTTGTGATTAGCTGGCCTGATTGAGGGCTGATGAGGCTGAAAGGGTGTTTCACTCCAGAATACAAACAGCACAGGTAAATTGCCTTTTCCTGGTGTTGCAGTGGGATTGTGCTTTGCTCAAATGCTGTTGCCCCATAGCAAGACTCAGCAAATTCCCTTGAGCCTCTGACAGGCTCTTCTGGAGGGAACATAATCACAGATCAACTTGTTTTAAGAAACTTTAAGAAAGAGGGTCTTGGGACACATCTGCTGAGCTACAGCTCAGGCTGAGGGAGGCTAGAGCAGGAGGAGGAGGCTGCAGGGAGAGGCATCTGTTGTCTTTGCTGAGGAGAAATCTTCCTCCTTTTCCTGAAGTACTTGCAAAGAGCTGTGAGAAAAACAGTAACAAATGTGAGGAAAAGTGCCTGTTAAACAAGTTGTTGTGGATATTCTCAAAAAAAATCATTAAAGCTGAAGTTGAATCCCCATGGGGAGCTCTGGCAGCTGCTCCCGGGTCCCTGTCTGGAGAGGAAGCCATCTCTGTTCTACCTCCCTGGGTACCAGCAACCACAGGAATCTGCAGAACTTCCCCCCCTCTGTGCTGCTACATCAAGGCTTTCTCTGCCTCCACTCACCACCTCTCTGTGGTTTTGAAGGTCATGTCAATTTTTCCGACGAGGTCACAGCCGGCCTTCGCATCTCGGACGGTGTCGTGCTCTTCATCGATGCAGCTGAGGGGGTGAGTGCCAGCTTCTCCTAGGCGTGATCCTCAGCATCTCTTCTCTGGAGTCTCTGCTCCTGCCTTAGCATGAAGGCCTGGGTTGGGTTCAGCTTGCCGGGGTGAAGGTTTTTTGGAGGACGGGTTGGCAAGTGAGTTTTCCGTCCAAACAGGCAGTGATGCCTCTGGCTCCTATGTCCAGGCTGATGTGATTCGTGTGGCCTGTAGGCTGATTACTCAACTTGTGTGCATCTCCATCCCCATGATACCTAAAACTGAGCAGGTTATTTATACCAGAGATGTCCACAGGCTTGGATTCAAGGAATTCAGTTGGGTCAGCAGCTATCTCTGAGCTTCAGGAGGATTAGCTGATCGCTGGTGGCTGAGCCTGGGCTTTTCTGCAGCCTGGCAGCAGTGTAGGGGTCACTGGCTGCCCCTCACGCCCCAGATAGCATTTCATGGAGGCTTTCCTGGGGCTCTGAGCTGGTTGTTCCCTGCAGGTGATGCTGAACACGGAGCGGCTGATCAAGCACGCGGTGCAGGAGAGGTTGGCAGTGACCGTGTGCATCAACAAGATCGACCGGCTCATCCTGGAGCTCAAACTGCCCCCAACAGATGCTTATTACAAACTCAGACACATTGTAGATGAAGTTAATGGTCTCATCAGGTGAGGGGGTTTGTGTCCCTGTCCCACTGCAGGTGCTTCTCTCTGTGTATGCCTGAAAACCCATTAATTTGTCTCTTGATACATTGAATCAGAGAAAATGGGGCAGGAAGAACCATTGGAAATTTATTTCAGCCAATATGTTGAATTAGGGAGGATAGGCTCTTCCTGACAAGCTTCATGGGATTTCATTTCCCCCCCATTTTATTTGTCCTCCATTAAGAAGTAGGGACAGAGCAATGAGCTTCTGTGTTCCCAAATATCTCAAATTATCCAGAAATTATCCAGATTGTATCCCAAACTGGAGGTTGAGATGTCTCAAAGCTCCTAAATATTTGCTAAAAAACCAGAAGGGCTTGCTGTTCCCACCCCTGAACAAAGATATGATACTGATATAATCAAATCTCCTTGCCAGCCCTGCTCAGGGAAGGGAGGGACATTTTGGTAGCCATGCATCATTTCCGTGTATTCTGCATCCAGGGAATTTCTTTAACAACCTTCTGCCCTTCAAATGTATGTGGATTTGCACATGGGCTTCCTGGCTTGTCTCTGTTCAGTGTGTGGTGGCATCAGGCAGCTGGGAGGAGGGTAATTCATCCTGGCTTGCCCGTGAGCTCATTAAAACTGTTTTGATTAAATTCTGTCCTTGTATTATCTTTTCCCTTACTTGGTTGACCAACTTGGATGCTTTTTTTAGGGAAAGAAAACCTCCCCCAGACAAAAAAATCCAAAGCACTTGTGCTGGTAACTTTTTAGTTCCAGGATCTTTAAATCTTTGCACATTAATGCTTTCAAGTTTCTAGGCAGAAAATGTTCCTGACCCTGAAATTCCGATGGCGAACGAGCTGCAGCTTAAAGATGCTGCTTGGCAATGCAGGAACCCTGCCTGTCACATACTGCTGTTGGGTGTGGGAGGTGGGTTGGAGTGTCTCCTTTGGTTCATAACATTGATTTGGGTTTGTTTTCCTCCTCTCAGCATGTATTCCACTGACGAGAACCTGGTGCTGTCTCCCCTTCTGGGGAACGTGTGTTTCTCCAGCTCGCAGTACAGCATCTGCTTCACGCTGGGGTCTTTTGCAAAGATTTATGCAGACACATATGGTGAGGATTATCCAGAAACCTGGTGCACTTCAACATCTCATTCCCCAACCTTTTTTTGTTGAGGTTTTCTAAGCCCTGCAGCTTTCCCAGCACGGAGATGGCCAGTGTTTGTGTTCGGGAATTGCTGGGACATGGGAGGAACTGCAGAGCTGAGCCTTGGAGGGCAGAAAGCAGAAATACAGTTTTAGCTGGGTATTTTCTCCTGATAAATGTTTCTTGAGTGAGAAGCCAAGATTTTATACGTACCCTAAAGCAGGAATAACAAGCCCTGCTCTGGCAGTTGAAGGCAGGTGTGTGAGTCGTGCTTTGCCTCCTTATCAGCAGCTCAGGAGAGAAGCAGTTAAGCTCTTCCTGCCTTTTCCCAAAACTCTCCGGAGTCTGAGACTCGGCTGCAGCTGGGCAGAAGCTTGGCCCACAAGGTTTTGCACTCTTGCCCTCATTCTTTTTTAAGAAACTGTCTTTTTCTGTCTTTGATGTAATTTCCTGCTCCCCAGGTGCCCACTCAGGGCAATCTGCTGTGTGGAGCAGTGGGCTCTGTGCTGGCACGAGCAGCTGCACAGCCCAGGTTTTTGAAGTCTCCCACTGGGGAATTCAGGGATCTGTAGGAGCCATGAGGGGGGGAAGAAGGAGGTTGTAAAGCAGCTGGCCCAGCTCCTGCAAAGAAATTGGCCTGAGGGAGGATGAAGTTGTAGAGGTCAGGGACCGGAGTGTCAGGACTGTCAGGGAGTTTGGAGCAGTAAATGAGCTCCCTGGGTGTCACAGCGTTAACTCAGAGCCTGCTGGGATGAGACCCCATCTTTGGGGGGGCTGAGAAGAGCACAGTCAGCAGGAGATGCCACCCATGTGGGGCAAGAAGGAGCTGGTGGGGTACTTGAAGTCGGGAATATTGGATTCTGGTCATCAGGGATTGTGTGTGCAGCCACCACACATCAGCTGACAGGAGTTAGAACGGTTTAAGTGTCCAAATAACAGCCACCATAAAATTCCTTGTGCTCACACATCTGCCCACAGCCAAAGCTTGTTTGGAAACTGCTGTAGGTTTTCACCGTGTCCTGTTATTTGTAAATTCACCGTGACAGCCAGCACTGCTCTGTTCCCTCAGCACTGCGTGTTTGGCTGAGAAAGAGAGAGGAACCTGGAGATGTTCAGCAGGACAGAAAATGCTGGTGCTGAGCCTGAGGGGTGGAGGGCAGCCCAGCACCTTGGCACTGCAGTGTCAGGCACAGCGTTCCCGTTTGGAAGTGCAGCAGATGTGGCTGGGCTCCTGCAGCGCAGTGTCTGGCAGCCAGTGCTCCTCAGCTCTGACCTCCTGGGTCGCTGAGAGAGCTGGAGTGTTCCAGTCTGTGAACTTCAGTGTCCCTGGGCTGCTGGGGACATCCTCAGTGGGCTGTTTCTCCTCACCTCTGCCTGGTCTCCCCAGGTCAGGGCTTAATCTTTCACCCAGAATTGGGACCTGGCGTTCACTCACCAGCATCAGTTCATTAAATCGAATCCTCAGGGCTGTTTTAAAAGCCAAAAAGTAAAGATTTCCAAGCTGAGAGAAATACATCTGATTCTGCCATTTGCTTTTTCCCTTTAGGAGACATCAATTATCAGGAGTTTGCCAAGCGGCTTTGGGGTGACATCTACTTCAACCCGAAGACGTAAGAACCCTGTTTGAATGTCTGTTACTTTTTTCCTGGGTTTTTCCCTCTTTCCCTGTAAAATGTGGATTAGATGACCACCCAAGGTCATTCCAACCTGCTCCTGTGATGCAGTACTATCTGGAAGGGTTGAGTCAGGCCTCCTGCCTGGTGTGAATCCACGTGGTCCTCCTGAATCCCATAAGCAGGAGCAGAGAGGCTCCTCTGGCCTTTGTTTGGAGTAAGCCTGGCCCTGACAGTTTCCTGGGGCTCAGGAGGGAGAAGAGGATAACCTGGCAGGAGCAGAGGCCGTGTAGGGGTGGTTCCAGGCTGCAGTTCTTGCTCCTCATGTCTCCCCTGGTCTCCAACAGCCGCAAGTTCACCAAAAAGGCCCCGACGAGCAGTTCCCAGCGCAGCTTTGTGGAGTTCATTCTGGAGCCCCTGTACAAGATCTTGGCTCAGGTATGTGGTAGTTCTTTCTCCTGTCTTTTCTCTCTTTCTCCAGCCAGGAGCAGTCAGGGCCTGGGCACTGGGTGGCAAGTTTGGTGCCTGTGGGACTCTTCTGTCCCATTCTGCAGCGTGATCTTCACAAGGGCTGATTTGGGGGTGCAGAGCAGCAGTGACAAACTCCATAACAATTGTTCCTTGCAAATGCAGCCCTGTATTTGCAGTAAATGGAACTGCCCTTAGTGTTCCTGGTGTGTCCTGATAGCAGCCAAGTGGTAGTGCTTGGACTTGGAGCAAAGACTTGGAGCACAAGTCTGATGAGGAGCAGCTGAGGGAGCTGGGGGGGCTCAGCCTGGAGAAAAAGAGGCTCAGGGGGGACCCTCTGGCTCTGCAGCTCCCTGACTGGAGGGGGGAGCATGTTCCAGGGAACAAGGGACAGCACAAGAGAAAACAGCCTCAAGCTGTGCCAGGGGAGGGTCAGGTTGGATATTGGGGAAAATTTCTTCACCAAAAGGGTGATCAGGCATTGGCACAGGCTGCCCAGGGCAGTGGTGGAGTCCCCATCCCTGGAAGTGTTCCAAAAATATGTAGATGTGGTACTTGGGCACATGGATTAGTAGTGGACTTGGTCTAGTAGTTGTGTATATATAGGGCTTTTCCAACCTTAATGATTCCATGATCCTGTGATTTGACCCATCTGGCTCTGGCGTGAGCTCTAAACCAGTGCAGGTCCAGATCCCTGTGGGTGATGTGTGAACCTGCACCTGGGAGTTACTGGCTTGGATCCCCCCACTGAAGTGAGAGTGGGGCTTCTTGTCTTGCAGGTGGTGGGGGATGTGGACACGACCCTGCCCAGGACCCTGGATGAACTTGGCATCCACCTGACCAAAGAGGAATTGAAGCTGAACATTCGGCCCCTCCTGCGGCTGGTTTGCAAGAAGTTCTTTGGGGAGTTCACAGGTAAAAGCTGTTTGTCTTCCCCTCCACAATCTTCCCTGTACCCCAATACCTCCCACCAACAGTTAAGGGCTATATTTTGGCCACGGGGTGCTCACTTGCACAGACCCTGCTGAGCTTTCCAAATATAAACCATTAAACCCCCTGCCCACAGGATACCGCTCACCTCTCCCCACTGCTGTGGGTGCGCTGTGGTCACAGTGGCTTTGCCTTGTGCTTGTGGGATCTATTTCTTTCCTCCACACTGGTTAATCCTGTCCTCACCAAGTGTCCCTGTTCCAGGCTTCGTGGACATGTGTGTGCAGCACATCCCCTCCCCGAAGGTGGGGGCCAAGACGAAGATCGAGCACACCTACACCGGCGGCGTGGACTCGGACCTGGGCGAGGCCATGAGTGAATGTGACCCCGACGTAAGGAAACTTGTGTTTATTTTGAGTGTCCAAACCCAAGGCAAACAGGCCCTGCTCTCCCTGCCCTCACAGGGCAGCTGCCTCCCAGCCAGCCATCTGCACAGATTTCACTCACAGCACTCTGAAACCTCTCATCCGACACTGGCACAAACCTCCTCACTCCGAGGAGCTTCAGCTGCCTACCAGGGCAGCCCTGGAGAGAGGGAATTGTTTGACAGCGTTCAGAGAAGAACAGGACTAGGTCAGGACTCCAGAGCACGTGGGAGAGCTGCAGGGTGGTTTTGTGTCCTTTTGTTGCCTTTTTGTCCCTTTTCCTTGAAGTTTGATTCTCTTCCCAAACTGAGAAAACTGATCTGAACTGAGCTGATAAAAATAACCCTGCATTAGTTAGTCAGCACCTTTCCTCTGAAAGCCCTGCAAAACCTTCCTCCTCAAACAGCTTGCACTGAGCTGTCACTCGGAGTTGTCTGGAGCCACCAACGCCGGCAGCTGAGGGAGGAATTTGCCTGTGACTTTTGCTCTGATGTCTGCAGAGAAAATGAGTCTCTTATTTTAATGAGTTGTGATTATCCACATAACACTCCACACTGGTGACTGCCACCACATCACCAGGGTGGAGTGACCTTGTGGGACTGGAGGCTGTGGTCTGTGGGGGCTCAGGTGCTCTGCCCTGGGCGGGTTTGCAGGCCAGCAGGTGACATTTCTGCTCATGGCTTTGTCCCAACAACCGTTTGCTGCTCTACAGGAGGAGGGATGGGAGCTCCAGAACAGTCCACCAGGGTCATTCCAGGGGTTTCCACACAGGGCAAGGAGATGTAGGGCCTCCAGTGGGAAGAAATGAAGGAATTGGTAAATCAAAAGAAGTATTCCTAAATTCCAGCCCATTAATCCCTTTTATACACTAATCATGGAATCATAGAATATCCTGAGTTGGAAGGGACCCACAAGGATCATCAAAGTCCAGTCCTGCCAGGTCTGTGTGTGTTTCTTGTCTGTGCTTTGGAAGAGGCTCATTTCTCTCTCTCTGTCACGGGAAGGGTCCCTTGATGTGTCACACAACAAAAATGTACAGCACTGATGATGGTGTCCAGTTCCACGCCTTTGGCAGGGTGCTCAGTGGCACCATTCATGCTGGACAGCCTGTGAAGGTCCTTGGAGAAAACTACACCCTGGAAGACGAGGAGGATTCCCAGATCTGCACCGTCGGACGCCTCTGGATCTCGGTAGCAAGGTATGGAAAGCTCTGGCAAGGGGCTCACTGGGGAGGGGAGTCACCTGGAGTCAGGTGAGGGGCTGGGAGGCAGGGAGAGCTGCAGGGACAGGGAGGAGGAGGGCACTGGAAGGCCTGAGGCTGCAGTGGTGCTCTCCTGCCTTGCAGGTATCACATTGAGGTGAACAGGGTTCCTGCTGGCAACTGGGTGCTGATTGAGGGTGTGGACCAGCCCATCGTGAAGACAGCGACCGTGACAGAGCCCCGGGGCAATGAGGAGGTACCTGCATGGCTGGCATTGCCCAGCCTTATGGGGAGGCAGGGTGATGGAGGGCATCCCAAAAGCTCCCCTGGTGAGGCTGAAGAATCCTCATGGCCCTGATGCTGAGGCACAAGAGCCACTGAGGGACAGGGAGCAGCTGTGTCCAACCTGTGGGCTTCTGTGATGCACTTTCAGCTCTTTGTCCTCTCTGGTTCCAGGCTCAGATCTTCCGACCCTTGAAGTTCAACACCACCTCTGTTATCAAAATAGCAGTGGAGCCAGTGAACCCCTCAGAGCTCCCCAAAATGCTGGATGGTCTCAGGAAAGTCAACAAGAGTTACCCCTCCCTTACAACTAAGGTACTGCTGGGGGTGGTTGGACTAAATGATCTCCAGGGGTCCCTTCCAGCCCTGCCTATTCCATGATTCTCTGTGTGACTGTTTTCAGCCTGTGGTGGGGGCAACTTCTGGGCTGATCTTAAAAGTAGTTAATTTTTTACTGTGGGTTGTTATGTTTGTTGTGGGTCTTTTCATGCTGTTGCATGTTGATCTCATAAATTATGTGGAAATAGCAGAAAAGTATAAATCCAGCAGAAAAACACCCCTTGTGCCAGGGAAGCAGCTTTCTGCAGCACTTCCTGCTGGAAAAGGCTGCAGGAGCTTTCCTTGGGATGCTCTGATCCCAACCAGCTGATCCTTCCTCAGGCTTGAGTAGGAGCCTGGGAGGCAGGAGCTGTGAGCAGGAATGTTGTCAGCTGAACCCTTCTCTTCTCTTCCAGGTGGAAGAGTCTGGGGAGCACGTGATCCTGGGGACAGGAGAGCTGTACCTGGACTGTGTGATGCACGACCTGCGCAAGATGTATTCCGAGATTGACATCAAGGTGAGGGGGTGAGAGAGGGGCTTTTCCCAGCTGGAAACCCTGGAAAACCAGGGCTTTGTTCCCCTGTCTCAGAAGGATGGGAAAATGAACCTACCTGAACATACAACATGGATTTTGTCACATCCCTGTAAAAGGGAAAAAAAAGAAAAGGGCTGTTGGGGTGCAGAAGTGCCTCTTACGGCCTGACTGTCACAGCAATGGGATTGAGAGACTGAAAATTGTCTTAGAGAAGAGTTTTCCATAATCTAGCCTTTTCCTGTGCCTCAGCCATTGCTTGGTTAGCACCAAATAAATAAATTGAGCAGAATTTTTCATGCCTGGAGTCAGGTTTAAATCTTCCTGTCTCATTTGAGTGAAGGAATTAGTGGAGCTGCCTGTGAAGCCTCAGTGGTTCATGCACAAAACACTGCCAGGTGAACCAGTTTTTTCTTGTAGGTGTTCAGGGCTTTCAAACAGTCTCTTTACAAACAAAAAAGGACTGAAAACACACTTGTTGTTCCAGGTGGCCGATCCAGTGGTGACATTCTGTGAGACAGTGGTGGAAACGTCCTCCCTGAAGTGCTTTGCTGAGACCCCCAACAAGAAGTAAGAGGCTGTGGGTGAGGGGGGCAGAGGGGGGCAGAGGGAGGGTCCATCCCCTGCAGGGGGGCTGTTCCCTCTGGCTGTTGTCCACACAAGTGTCCAGCTGAGCTGAACTCAGGAACACACTGGAGTCCCAGGGGTGTTCCTGTGCTTTGTGGGAGCTCTCAGAATGGAGGGAATACAGATCCACATCCTCCTCTTTACCTGTCCCACTCTCTCAGCAGTTCTGTGGGTGTTTCCCAGACTGGGAGTTGTCCTGGGAGCAGCTGCCACAGAGCCCAGTGCTGCCTTCAGTAACTCCCCAAACAATTTCATGAGCAAAAGCTTTGTCTTCTCGTGTCCATACTTAATCTTGGATTTGTGCCTTCCTGGTGATGCCCTGGGCCCTTGGAGATGTGAGAGCATGGGACATTTTCATGCTTGAATTTTCAGGGGAATCAAGGTCTGCTGAAGATGGCTTTCCTCTGTTCCCCCATGGTTTCTGGTTCTTCTTGCCCTCCTTTATTCTGATACTCTCTCCATGGTTGGCAGCCTGATTTCTGGGAACAGAGGGGTTCCAGTCTTCACAGAATCAAAGGATGGTTTGGGTTGGAAGGGACCTTACAGTCCATCCAGTTCCAAGCCCTGCTAAGGGCAGGGACACCTTCCACCAGACCAGGTTGTTCCCAGTCTTAGGTGAGTCTTTGACCTTCTGGATACATGGAATGACCTGTGCTGGGGACAGGTTAGTGGTGTTGGGGGTTCTTGAGCACTTGGTCTGTGTTTACAAGGAGACAGTGACAGCAACAGGCACGTATGGTTTCATCAGCCCAACTGTGCTGGAGGCAGGGGGCAGCTGTAGAGCCCCAGAATCATGGAATCAGTAAGGCTGGAAAAGCCCTCTAAGATGATCAAGTCCAACAGTCAATGTAGCAGCACCACCATGTTCACCATTAAACCATGTCCTCAAGTGACACATCCACACATTTTTTGAGCACTTCCAGGGATGGGGACTCCACCACTGCCCTGGGCAGCCTGTGCTAGGCTTTGCAACCTTTTCTGTGAAGAAATTTTCCCCAATATCCAACCTGACCCTCCCCTGGCACAGCTGGAGGCCGTTCCCTCTCCTCCTGTCCCTTGTTCCCTGGGAGCAGAGCCCGACCCTACCCCGGCTCCCCCCTCCTGTCAGGGGGTTGCAGAGCCAGAAGGTCCCCCCTGAGCCTCCTTTTCTCCAGGCTGAGCCCCCCCAGCTCCCTCAGCTGCTCCTGCTGCTCCAGCCCCTTCCCAGCTCCGTTCCCTTCCCTGGACACGCTCCAGCCCCTCAACGTCTTTCTTGTCCTGAGGGGCTGCCAGTGCCTGATCCTCCCAGTAGCTCCATTCCCATCGCTCTCTGCCCTCACTGGGACTGTCTCTCCTCAGGAACAAGATCACCATGATCGCTGAGCCCCTGGAGAAGGGACTGGCAGAGGACATTGAGAATGAAGTGGTGCAGATAACGTGGAACAGGTATGACTGATCTGGGAGAGCAGGAATCCATCTAGGTGCAAATAACTGGGGAGAAAAGGGAATGCTGGGATCTACAGGGTGCACAGTGTCAGGCAGGGATCCTGTTTGGTATTGCTGCCAGCCTGTCCATGAGCATCCCTGCCCCAGGAAATGGACTGTTCCAGGTAAAAGCTGAGACCATTTTATTACTGAAGGGAGCAGGGTTGCAAATACATTATGAGTGCAAGTCAGATACTTGTTTCCTACAATTTCTTCCCTTGTTTTTCCATCAGGAAGAAGCTGGGTGAATTCTTCCAGACCAAGTACGACTGGGATTTGCTGGCTGCCCGTTCCATCTGGGCCTTTGGGCCGGATGCCACTGGCCCAAACATCCTGGTAGATGACACACTGCCCTCAGAGGTGAGGGGGGGGTCATGCTTCAGTGAGACCTTTGTCCCGTGGTGCCAGGAGGTTCCCACTCCTCCCAGAACTTCCAGCAAGGCCCTGATGCAGTTGGGCTGCTCATTGTTTGCCACAGCTCAGACCTGCTGCACTTTCCCCACCACAGCTGTTATTTGTTTGGGCCAATGTCTTAAAACTTGTCAGCTAATGGGCCTGCCTTTCAGGGGCACCAAAATATGGACCCTTAATCTATAGCTCTGGGGTGCCAAGCTCTGAAGTCGATGGTCCTGAGCTGTGAGAGCGAGGGGTGGACATTGAGGGTACAGGGGAACATTGCTGCTCTTTTAGGAACTGGCTTTTAACTGGGGTCTGTTACTGCTTCTGGTGCAGGTTTGGTTTCTGAAGCTGTCTCTCTGTCTGTCTGTCTGTCTGTCTGTCTGTCTGTCTGTCTGTAGGTGGACAAGTCCCTTCTGGGCTCAGTGAAGGACAGCATCGTGCAGGGCTTCCAGTGGGGGACCAGGGAAGGGCCCCTCTGTGATGAATGTAAGTGGGACCTGTGGGGAAGTGGAACTAATGACAGGATTGATTAAGAATTTAATCTCTGAGCATTCAGGTGTCCAAGGCCAGGTTGGATGGGGCTTGGAGCAACCTGGGCTAGTGGAAGGTGTCCCTGCACATGGCAGGGGGTGGGACTGGGTGGGCTTTAATGTCCCTCCCAACCCAAACCATTCTGGGATTCTATTTGCATCGTGCCAGGGCAGCTCTCGATGTCAG